ATATATGTGTCTCAATTTTTTGCAATACAGCCGCTTAAAACTGGAAAGTGCTTTTCCTGAAACTATCGCAACAGTGCCCTAAAATTGAAACTTTATTTTCTTCGCCATCATAAGCATGTGGATCAAATTTTTACTAAATCGGCCATTGAATACTGTCGATGTGACATTATCTGAATTTTCAAAAATCTCACTTTCGTTTTTCGCCTAATTTCCATGTGGTTGCCCACTGTGGAACGGGAACTGTTCAGCAGTTACCGTTACAACTGGTAACTGTCACAGCCCTATCCCCCTCACCATTTTTTAAAATACATTTTTTCCTGTTCATAATTACTGCTATTATTGTTTACGAAGTTAATAATTTAGCTACGGCAATTCTCTTAAATAAAGGGGTTTATTGACATACGGAAAAATTTGGTTGAGAGGTTTTTTTGAACTTTTTTCCTTCGTATTTATTAATAAATATATATTAACTATATATGTTAACAAAACATTTCGATATGTTAACATATCATCCTCAGTAGTTCAAAAACGAAATAGTTTATAGATCCACAATCTAAAATTATAATAATTTTTCAAAGTTTGAAAAAATAGATTGTGGATCTATAAACTATTTCGTTTTTGAACTACTGAGGATGATATGTTAACATATCGAAACGTTTAGTTAATATATATATTTATTAATAAATACAAAAGAAAAAAGTTCAAAAAGCCTCTCAACTAAATTTTTCCGTATAAACCCCTTTATTTAAGAGAATTGCTGCAGGGTTTTTTAAGCGAGAAAAGCACGTTTGCGTTTTATTAAAAAACTAAAAGGGTTTACGAGAAAACCTATGGACTTTTCTTCCAAAGTGTGATACCCTCAAGGTTTAATAATCCAACGCCAATACCTTTCTAGATCTATAAAAAAACGCTTTTTAAGAATTCGGAAGGGTATGTGAAGAAATCCTATCACTGATAAACCCTTAAGCGTTCAGGAAAACTGTCAATAAACCCTTTTCCGTTCCGAAGAAAAAATGTGAAATGGTTAGCGTTTTTTAAAATACTGATGTTTTTAGTGTACACGTATACGGAGATTACATAAATCCATCAAAACATAGTTTACTACTTCGTATAATTTACTATTCTATCAGTTACAAGCGTTGACCACTCTGCTCTGTCGTGACTCTGAGACAACGCACTGGTTTTTAGTTTTGTGGTGAGTGATAGAACTAAAATTTGCTTGACCCTTTCAAAGGTGCTGCTTTTCATTATTAAATTTTACTTCAGCAGAATATGATCCTGATTAAATGTATTTCATATAATAAACAAACGTAAAGTATAAAATCAGCGGCAAAAATTAAAAGCGTAGAAGCATAAACGACATAGTGTTGTTGAACAGAAAGCTTCAGTGACGAAGACACAGATCTGAAACATATTTTTCAATGATTTTGCTAATGAAGTAGTTGTAATTTCATTTTAATATCTTTAAAATTTTGATGAAAGTTATTTAATAATTCATTTAATTGTATTTTAAAATTCTCTTTCTCTTCCTTTGTACGAAACGTACGATTTAATGATTGTTCTACAAAACCTTGATAACGTTTTAAATATTCATCTAATTTTTGAAAATGTCTATCAAATGCTTTTTGTAAGACATTTTGTATATATGTTTCAAGATGTTCCTGAATTGCATCAATATTATTTTGTAATGTTTGTAAGCAATGACTTCTTAAACTTGCTAGTGTTATACGAAATCGAGTATCACTGTCGGTTTCACCTTCTGTAAATGGTATATCAATCAGTCGAAGTGTCCACCATGAACGATATGTTCGTTCAATAACCGATATTTCATTGTTATCTTCCATTTCATTGATTTCTGAATCGAATAACCGAGGTGGACGTATTACAAGATCAAATGTGTTCGTTAAACGTTTTTGTGCTTCAATTAATACTTCTTCTGTTGTAAGTTTTAAATCAACGTTTAGTTTATTACATAGCATTTGACAGTTGTGATTGACGACCTTGCGAATATCAACAAGTGCATTCTCACTTATCGCGTGTACTTGAATGTTCCACCCTTTAATAAACGTTTTGGCTTCTTCTTCGCTGTTATATATCAAATCGGCACCCATCAATACTTTTATTGTAAGAAAAGTTAAATCTAATTTAGGAGAAATAAGAAATCGATCCGTAGGAAATATACGATTCAAAATATTTGAAAGAAATGACTGGACCTTTTCTGCAGCTAGAACTTTTCGATCGATTTCGTCTTTAGATAATTCATCAAACAAAGTGTTCAATCTATTAACGCCATCGGTTTTAGCTTTATTAAATTCATTCTTGATAACAATTAACATAGCATCGTTTTTAGCTGCCTGTAAAACAACTTTTTGCGTATTCATTACTTCTTTTAATTTTTTTGAATCATTTTTCAATGCAATAATTTCTTGTTCTAAGTTTTTAGCATCTTTATCCAGTAAATTTCTTCCAATTTTTACATTTTCTTTTAAAGGTTCATTAGCCGAAAGACAATAAATTAATGCTGCTTGCAAACAACGTGGTGTAGTTTTTCGAACTAAACTGTCAATAGCACCATGTAAAAAGGAATGAAATCCAGATTCCTTCCATAAATCTTCAACAGCTTCTCGTAATTCTTCCACAGTTGGAATTTTCTTTTTTCCACGAACACCAAAAGCTTGCTCAATAAAGTCTTTTGCCGACGGTAGTTGTAGGATATCATGTCCTTCAGTAAATGATTTTAATTCAAATAAAAATTGTTTCGATAAAAGAGCACGACGAGCTTGAATTTCATATATTCGCGTTTCTTCGGAATCATTTTTAATACTAAATGTGTTAGCAACAAATTCTTGTGCTTGTTCTTCGGTCATGCTATTTCTGTCACGTTGATCAACTTTATTAAGAAGAGCGTAAAGTGAATTATGGCCATGTTGTATATATCGAATATCATTAATACTTTTTGCCACAAAATCATCAGCTTCAGTATTTAAAGCAGTAAAATCGAGTACAACTAAAATAATTGCTGCATTTTCTAATTCTTTTTGAAAGATATTTTTTAATAGATCAGAATGGCTTTTTTCATTCGGGCCTGGCGTATCGACAATCACTAGATTTCCTAATGACTCGTGTATTGAGGCTTCATCACCGACAGTTGAATATGGAGCATAGATTCGTGGTAGACGAGTCAATAACTCATCGTACAATGTAGTATTACCGTTCTCAATCAGATTTTCAAATAGACGTAAAAGATCATTAATATACGTTAATGTTGAATGAATCTTTTCAGTTCCGTACGTTGTGGACAATAGAACTGGACAACTTTCCGGTGTATCACGAATTTTTTTTGTCGTATCAATTAAATGTGTATATTTTGCTAATCTTATTTTTAACTCTTCGTCGTCCGTAGCATGTAGTCGGAGGTACTGGTATAGTTCATTTTGAATTTCATTCAGTTTTTTAATAAGTTGCTCGTTCAATGACAAATAGATAGATTCGCTCTTTGGATCTCTAACAGTTAAAACAATTTCAGTTGGTATTGTTGTCATAGCCGTATTTCGTGCTGGTAATAATTCTTGTCCGAGGATAGCATTGATAATTGTTGATTTCCAGCTTTCATTAATGCAATAATTGGCATGCGTAATTCTAAATTATCTACTTTATCACGTTCGAGATAAAGTCGTTTAATGATACGTCGTGGTTCGTTACTTTCCTGACTTGGAGTGTCGTTATCATTTAACAATTTGTCGCTTGATTCTCCCAGTATGATACAGCTTTCTAAGCATGTTAATATGTCTCGCTTTATACTTGTCAAATTCCTCTTGTCGTTTTCTCTCTTCAATGTAACACTTGGTGAATCACTAACACGGACACTAGAAGAAGCATCCATCGTTGCAATGGAAAAAGTGTATGAATTTTCTACTTGTTTTCTTCGACTAATGTATCTAGTTTCCGTTATTTAAATAAACACAAAATGTATAGGTTTTTACCATTCATACTTATTTTATTTTTAAAAAGAGAAAGAAAAGCTTTTTATAACTTTAACTATAAAGTACTTCGGGAAAATTCTTATTGTATTAGTAAAATTAGCAAAAATAATTCATGTTCTTCAAATACACAAACTGCTTTTGTGTTCCGATAGTTTTAGTTTAGAATACTATAATGGAATATTTTGTATTCCGCTTGTATTCTGAAGGAACTTCACGTTTGTTCATTATGGAACTAATGTTTGTTCATTCTTCTAACGTAAATAGAAAGACTTTTTTTATGATTCTCGCATTTTTCTTCTCATATAGATTCAACTCGTATTTGATCTTTTACTCACCTATAATAAATATTTCTATAAATATTAAATATTTATTTATTATTGCCTTTTATCACATGAATTCAAAGCTGAGAGCAGTTACAAAAAATTTCTCTACTACTTTACTTATTAAATCAAAAGATCGTAACTAGAAAGACTTTTTTCACTATATACCCACGTCTTGCAGAAAGAGAAAATCTGCACAAGTTCTTTAAAGATTTTTTTTCTTGAAAATTCTTGATCAAGAACTTGATCAAGATTTATTGATACCTCTGCACTTGATGTCCTTGGAAA